ATTGCGCTTAGGTTGGAGGCCATTGCGCTTAGGTTGGAGGCCATTGCTCTTAGGTTGGAGGCCATTGCTCTTAGGTTGGAGGCCATTGCTCTTAGGTTGGAGGCCATTGCTCTTAGGTTGGAGGCCATTGCTCTTAGGTTGGAGGCCATTGCTCTTAGGTTGGAGGCCATTGCTCTTAGGTTGGAGGCCATTGCGCTTAGGTTGGAGGCCATTGCGCTTAGGTTGGAGGCCATTGCTCTTAGGTTGGAGGCCATTGCTAGTAGGTTGGAGGTCATTGCTCTTAGGTTGGAGGCCATTGCTCTTAGGTTGGAGGCTAATAGGTTGGAGGCCATTGCAAATAGGTTGGAGGCCATTGCTAGTAGGTTGGAGGACATGGCTAGTAGGTCGGAGGCCATTGCTAGTAGGTTGGAGGCCATTGCTAGTAGGTCGGAGGCCATTGCTATGTGTTTGAATGCATGTAAAGCTTCCTTTATATGCGAAAAGGTTCATGGGTGAAGTTCCTAAGATGAAGGGTAGATAAGTAAGCTGTCGTGTAGTTTAAAGCTAATTACTGGGTGCTGGGATGCAGAAATTATGTTTTTCAAGGGCCCGTCGCATGATTGATTTGGTTACTCCATGGTTTCCCTAACCTTTTCTTTGGCCTTTCTTTTGTCCTTTGTGCTAGAGCCACTCCCGTTGGTAAAGCTGACAGATTGGATCAGATATTTCATTGAATAGAATAACATTCAGAAACTGAATTGTTGAAACAAACTAGCTACTTGAAAAAACAATAGTTTTATATTTATATACATGTAACAAAGGATGTCGAACTGTGTTGCCGATGTTGGGGTGCAGATGCCAAAGATTCTGAACACTGATCCATTCCGGGAATTCCTTCATTCTGCTTTTTGCCTCAACTCTATTCAGTCCAGAACTGCAACTTGGTGTTGTGGCGCAGGAAGGCAAAAGGGCAAACTCAGTGCCTGAAAAATGTACAAGGACATGGACCCTTTACCTCACTTTTGCCTCCTGGGCTCTTCGAGCTAAATTCCGGTAACTAGATCAAGTAAGATATGAGGATCCGACAAAATCTACTAATGTAGTCACAGGGCGGACGGGATACCTGAAATACACATTGGTGGCGACCCATGCAAGGCTATGTCTCTAGGCTAGGCAGCAGATTTTGTCCCGCACATTCCAGCACTCATGTGTTATGTTGACATCGTTCCAAAGATTCCGACTTGGTCAGTCCTGCAACTCAGGTCGCGACGATGAGAGTAACGTGGTGTAGTCTAGTTCTGCAATTGCTTCGGCAGTTGCTGTGGAACGTCGGCTTGCCATAAAATGCAACAAGAAGTTAGTTGAGCACAGCTTTTGATTTGCAATTGCTTTAGTTTAGACCTTGGTGCCCATGTTCCACTCTGTCAAAGCGCGTGTTCCACAATGATCTCCTGGACTCCATTGATAATCTCTGTGTGACCCACACATTTCAAGGGTCTGGAATGGAAAATAGAGAGAATGCCCTTGGTTAAGTGGCAAAGTCTGTCATCGCGCGATGCTGCCTCCACTTTATTGCGATGCCCTGAGGCTTTAGGTATATCGTGTCATGGTCACAGTCTCAACGCAGGAGACACGTGGTGACACATTCAAGCGGACAGCTGCGAAAATAACTATATACGTAGCGTTTTGCATCGGCAATTTCAATATAAAACGCCAGGACGCTATATAGTATATTGCTTGTAAGATAGAAAAGTCGAAGCCTTTCGTTGAGTGGCCGTGTGCCATGGAGACCGTGGAACCAATGCAGAGTTCTTTCAAGTCATCACCTCAGAATGCGTTCTTTTTTTCTGTGTTTCTGGCATTTGTATGCACGGTTCATTCTCTAGCTTCGCTTTTGCTTGAGCCGCTTTGGAATTTTGGGGAATTGGGATGGCATGAGTCGTTTTGCTCAGGGACAAACCTTTCAACATTATGGCTATCCAGGACTTCGCAAACTTTAGCCGTGTTGTTTCTTCTTGTTGCTGACATGGACGACGTGCTTGCCAACTTGCCTTGACTTGGAAGTGTCGTTCTCAATGTCGAAGCAGAGGAACCTGTTGAGCAATCCGACGCGGAGGTGCCTGAACATATTGCTC